ATAAAGTAACTATATGAGAGTAAAGTAACTATATGAGAATAATACAACTCTGTGAGTAAGTAACAGTAAATCAGTCCTATCATTCTCTGTGTGTAGAAGTGGAAGCGTGTGTGGAGCGCCCTCTATAGGGACAGTCCTTGTTCCATCTCCAGACTGGAGTTCTTTGACTGTAAAGATGGAGGAGTTGAGAAAAGTTTACGCAAACAACAGGAACAAAAGAAGGTATATGATTCTACTCGTCTCTACAAGTCTCTACCCGACTCTACGCGACTCTATGTGGTCTGTTGCCTAGGTGATAACATCCTGTGTGTGTCTTCTAGGTGATTCGTCTGTCAGACTGTATCCGGGTATCGGAGGTGGAGGTGGACGGATGTCCGAGAGACACTGGACCGTTCCTTGTGGAGACAACAGAAAAGATCTATGTTTTCGCTGCAGAGAGGCACCAGGTGGACGACTGGACACACAAACTGTGTGAGATAGCCTTCCCTGTGGGTACACACACACACACACACACACACACACACACACACACACACGTGTCGATCTGTTTGAGTTTTTTCAGACCGAAAAATGGAAACGACACATGATCCAAAACTAGGCTCATGTTAAATGTTGTTGTGGGCATAATAGAGTGAGGACGTCCACCCTTAACGCCGACATTAACGGCTGGAGATAAATGTGACGAGATCAAACAGTCCAACTGGGCACCACCCAACGTGTGAGCACCGCCCCTGGTTCAGTGGAGTTTAACGTGTGTAACTGTTGTTGTGTAGTTTGTGTGATGAATGGTGTCTTTGCAGATGAGCTGGACGGAGCATGGCGTGAAGCGAGGCAGCGTGCACAGAGGAACCAGGGTGGAGGAAGACGAGGGGATGGAGGACAACTCTCTGTACAGTGGCAGACAAACAGGTACACTTGTCTCACCTGTCCACATGTCTCCCTGCTGGTTCACCTACAACTCGTCGACCTCAGACAGTAAATAGAAGTCGACACGTCTCCACTTCCTCCAGAAATGAAACAAAAATATCTCCGATACAAACGCTGCCATCTTGTGATCATGACGTCATTTACAGTCAGAGTCTGTGCAGTTGTGATCGTGGTATCGAGTCAGTCTCAGCTGTCAATCATGACGTCTCCGCCTGTTTTTATATCATCGAGAACTGATTCAAATCAAACTGATGAGAAACATGAACAAACATCAGAGAGAGAAGAACTGAAACGACAGAAACATCTTTGACAAACATTTATTGAACGTCTACTTTGATTTTATTAGTTTGGTTCATGTCCCATCTGCTAACATGGAGGAGGTTAATGAGCCATACTGCAGCCAGACACCAGGGGGCGATAGAGGTGCTTTGGATTTGTCCAGCTTTATTTACAGCCATTGTGACGACAGAACACTGAGTCAGACAAAGATAAAAGTTTTTAAAAATTCAGAACGTCTGTGTCGTTATGTTTGTGCAGTTTTCAGTTCCACCTTAAAACCTCACTTCCTCTCTCCCTCTGTTTCACCATCACAGTTAAATTTAGCAGCCTGCGGCTAAAGTGATGCATTTATCTGCAACACACACACACACACATCTCTACAGGTCACATGTGTGTGGTGCAAACTTGCATGTGTTAGTTCCTGCTCCGTGTGTTTGTGTGTGTGTGAAGAGCGTCCTCAGCTTTATCTTGAAGGGACAAACTTCCTGTTTCTCAACAGGAAACTGTGGTAATAGTAGTTAGATCTTTGACTTCAATTATAATAGTAGCACTGCAGTGTAGTAATACATATAGTACTACACACAGTTGTGTTCTACCACAACAGTCATATTTGATTGGATCATTGAGGTCATGATGCTGTTTCTCCTCCAACACCTGCAGCAGATCATGTGTGTGTGTGTGTGTGTGTGTGTGTGTGTGTGTGTGTGTGTGTTACAGTAGAAAGAGTTCTTACATTCTATTTTCCAACCTGAGTTTTTTATCAAGGTAACGCTGCGTTTCCTTTGCTTGTCTGTTGGTGGCGTTATATCCACTTTGTGCTTGTGTCTGTGAAAAGAGTCCAAAGTGACTTTTTCTCCTTTGAACCTTTTTAACCAACAGAACCAATGAAAATCAATGTGAAAACCTGACCACTCCCACTGAGAACAGTGAACACACTTTGATTATACGATGAGCAGATGGCTCTGAGCAAAAGGGGGAGGTCAGACACTTTCTCGTTCTCCAACACAGTGACGCTCAGCCGGGGACTTGTGGGTATTGTCGCTCCTGCCTGGTGCCTATCACCCTGGGAGCCTCCAGAGAACAAGAGAGTTCAGCCCCTAACCAGGAGTTTGGATCCAGAGGCCACACTGTGCAACGAGCAGAGTCTCACTGCACCTCCCTCTGGGGAGGCACCTCCCTCTGGGGAGGCACCGCCTCTGTCTGCCAACTGTCTTACAGGACTGTTCCATGTTGTTTTTGTGGGCTGGGCCTTACCAAGGTTAGGGTCGGGGATGCTCGAATTATCAGGGGTCATATGAGGCCTGGCCCCCAAACGCTCACCGGTGAGATCCCCCCAGGTGTGACTCCAGGAGGGGGCTCCAGTCATTCTGAGCGATGTTACCTATGATCGTTGATGTCATCTGGGTTTTCTGAAATACTCTTCGTCTGGCCCCACCCCCTGGGACCACTCTGCCCTTGGGAGACCCAAGAGAAGCAGTGCCACAGACAACACAGCTCCAGGATCAGTTTATAATCCATAATCTGTAATCCACAATCTATAACCTATTATATCTGGTCCATAATATACAATCTCTAATCCATAATCCATACTGTATAATCTATAATCTATAATCTGAAAGGTTTTGAGAAGGTGAAAGAAGAAAAATTACAAATAATGAATTCATCAGTTGTTGAGTTTTACTGTGGATCAACTGATCAATCAGTTATTTCATCTGTGTGTGTGTGTGTGTGTGTGTGTGTGTGTGTCAGTGCGGGACTTCAGAGTGTGTGTGCGGAGGACGGAGGCCTCTGATCACTGCAGACTGAAAGGAGACGGAGTCCTGCGAGCAGACGTGGACGCTCTTCACCTGCTCAACAAGACAGGAGACATTTTGTTTACGTGGCCGTACAGATTCCTGAGACGCTTTGGACGAGACAAGGTCTCTCTCTCTCTCTCACACACTCTCTCTCTCTCTCTCACACACACACACAGGATGTTGTGAGTGACGTCTTTGATCTCGTCTTCAGTCGACCTTCTCCTTTGAAGCGGGGCGGAGGTGTGCGTCCGGCGAGGGCAGTTTCCAGTTCGACACCAAACAGGGTAACTTCCTGTTTCAGGTGGTTGAAGCCGCTATCGACCTGCGAAGGACGGCCCCCCCGCACAGACAGATCTCTGGGGGGGGGCCGCTGAGTCCAGATCCCTCCCACAACCCCAACCTGCCCCCCCCACCCCAGAGCAGGACACTGCTACTGCCACCTCAATCCCGCAGTCATATCCCACAACCCCCTGCTGCTCAGGTCAGCTGATTCACAGGTCATCTGTACATGGTTTCAAAATAAAGTCTGAAGTGTCAGAATAAAGTCAGGATTGTGATGTTTACATAAAACATTTTAGGTCAGTTTCCTGAAGCTGTTGGTTGTAACTTCCTGTTGAAAAGGGCTGATGTTGTTTCCTGTCTGCAGGCTGAGGACGCTGTGTACAGCACAGTGACGGAGCATCTTCACATGACTCATCACAAAGAGAGCTCCAGCCCTTCACTGCAAAAGCAGCGCCTCCAGCTGGTAGGACACAACTTTACAGCCATGTTGTCTTGAGATGGGACCAGTATAAGTTCATGACTCAGGTTTTATTTCTTTGTTAGTGGAAACTGTTACAGCTTCGAATAGGTTTAATGAAAGCGCACACGTGTGTGATACTCAAGTTTCCCATCATGTCAGTTCACCTGAACACTGTCCAACAGGAAGCTCATGGTGCGTTTAAGGACACGAGGGATTGTTATGGTCCTCATGGATTAGTTCTTCATCGTCCTGGTTCACATTAACACAGTTCACATTGGGTCTGCAGTTTTTAAGCTCCCCCTGCTGGACACCTTCAGCTGTTGTAGTGACAGGTGGAGACAGACAGTAAAAGATGAGATCATTGATCACTGATTGGTTATCGATCGGTTTCGTCTCTAATGTCCCTTGTTCTGTTCTCAGTGTCGTCTGGAGCCTCCTGTCGATAAAGTCCTGACCGGCGTGAAGAGTTTGTCTCTGGACACTCGCGGTCTCCCCGTCCCCCGAAAGAACCAGGTCAAGATGATCTCCAGCTGCCCGCTGCCCCACGTCGAGCCGAGCCCCACTCCAGCCCTAGGCTCCACCCCCTCCCACGACTCCAGTCAGAGCCCTAAACTGAGCTCAAATCCAGAACAGGCCTACGCCCAGATCACACAGCCCGCCCCCAGAGAGCGGGGCTCCAAGAGGGAGAGGAGGGAGGGAGGAGGCAGCCTGGCTCCACCCTGTAACTGCCCTCAAATCGACCCAGAGCCAGAGTACTCCCTCCCCTTCGACACCATCGCCAAGAACATCATGGTGGACATCCTGAGCTCCCATCAGGCTCTTGTGTCTGAGTCCGGCGCGGACCCGCTCTATGACAGCATTGACGAGATGAAGATCAGAAACATCTTCACAAGCAAAGACGACGCCCACGAACCAACGCAAAGGAAGGTAGATCACATCTACGACGAGCCTGAGGGCTGCGCCGTCGCCAGCGCTGCCACCACCAGAGGGCCGGAATCCACTATCCCTACAGCAGTATACGATGACCCCGAGGAGATGAGAGGAGACGCCTGGAGGAACATGGGTACAGCCGATGACCCCAAAGGTCACGAGTACCCGTACGATCCCCGGGTGGATGACTACGCCGTGCCAAAACGCCCCAAGAGGGCATTTCCTGTCACACAAGACCCCAACATAGAAGAAGAAGACGAGGAGGAGGACGTGAAGCAGGAGGAGGAGGAGCAGCGAGACTCACAGTACACCAACATCATGGTGAAGATGTAGAAACGTCATCATCACACGGGCGCTTTATGTTTCAGTTCATTTAAGGAGCAGGTTTCTCATCACACAGCTTTAACTAACTCTCTTGTTTATTTGGATCCAGGGAGCGATCGCTCATCTTCACACAAACAACGATCAACGTCTGAAACAAGAGAAATGTGATCGTTCTACTGGAGACTCAGTGAAACCAAAGTGAACCGCTGGTTCGTCTGTTTCACTCAGTATCAGCAGTGAATTCATAATTAAACGTTAAATCTCTGATCTGCAGCAGCGAGAGACTCATCCTGCAGGGGGCAGCACAACAACAGCTCATTAGTTCTTACACAGTGCTTACACAGTTAATGTGGCTCATTGTGTTTAAACTCTACTCACAGGCCAAAGAGTCAACACTGGGAACTCTCACCTCTATTTGAAATCAAACCCCAACAATCCCTAAAAAAATCTCAAACACTTGCACCGTTTGAAACAAAGTGCCAACAACACACTGACGCACTTGATGTGGAACTCTGCTGTGTTTGCTCAGGCGTCTGTGACAGGGTGTTCCAGTAGATCTGCTCAGTTTCAATCAACACAAATAAAAAGTGTTCACAGTTTTATTTTAACAACAAAAAACTGAAGCAGTGAGACAACAGACGAATGTTTCGGATCTTTTGACGGTAACAGTAGATCGTAGAGATGAGGGGGTGCTTCAGGGATCCTGACGTCTGTTTGGCGTTTGTGCGTCCACATCTCAAGCAATATGGCGAGGCCCCGCTGCATCTAACCCTGGACTGACCCCACCTCTCCACCTGCCTCTTCCTTTGCTTGCACACCTTCCGGCACCAAGCTGAAAAGAGCTCCTCTACTGGACTGAGAACTGTGAGTCAGGGGCCAGTTTAAAACTTGGAAGTTATTGTGGTTTGTGAACTGATCCCGGATCAGAGCTGCCAGGTGGAAACAAACCTGTCGTGGTGATGGAGACTTCCGTGTAGACTCATGATGATGCGCACAATGAGATTTCCTCCACGCTGGACAGAGACATTCACCATGGCTCTGACCAATCACATACCCCCCCGACGCCTGGCCAGATTGAAGCTTCAGGATGTAAATGAAGGACTGTGAGCAGCTGCCTCTCTGTAACAGTAACAGATGGAGTGGGGGTTGGTAAGGTCAGATTCATTCTGTCAAAACAAGCTGCGGACGAGGTCGGTGCCTCCGTCCTCTCCAGATTTACAACATGATCCAGTGGCTCGTGACAAAGTCCGATGCCACCAGCGGTCTCCCGCACACAGCCAGAGACCAACAGGTTGCTTTTCAGCATCTTTAGTAAATCAAACGCAAACTCACAAAACTCTTAACGCAACTTGCAAACTATTTCAGCTGCAGCTCGGCTTTGCGGCTCCATTCTGTCCGTGTCTCACACGTGTGTTTCTCTCGTGTCTGAGACCCCCCCCCCCCCAGAGGTTCACTGAGCCTCCTCCACATGGCTCCAGTGTCCTCAGAAACTGGTCCATGTCTCTTGCCTGGTTCTCGTACTCTCTCCCGTCCTCTCTCTCTTCCACTGCCTCCATGTTTGCAAAAGAGAGGTGATCTCCCCTGAAGCCTGTTTGTGGAGTTAAGGCTCAGACTGGTGTTCAATCAGGGTATGAAGTGTTTCCGTGTGTGTGTGTGTGTGTGTG